CCTTTTACTAACTGTTTGTTTAAAGGCTGACAGGCTACAAGAGTCTCAGTGACAGCATCTATTCATCTCAGGGTGTCAGAATGAGAGAAAGAGGGAACGAGGGAGGGATAACGAAAAAGGGAGAAGAGACGAATGAAAAGAGATGGTAGGAGAACGGCCAGTAAAGAGTAAACGGGGGGCTTGGTGTGCTGTTAACAATAGGCAAGATTTACCTTTAGCTTTGAAACATCTTCAGATCATCCTAGTAGAAATTTCAGAAATTCATCTGGCAAATGACTGAGTGAGTGCTGATGTTTTCATCACTTTGGCTTTAATTATATGTCTCACTCAGCAGAGTCTTCCTTCTACTCGGCTAATTTAGATTGAGATCCTTCCAGGCTTTCCCCTATCTTTCATTTCCCTCCCCTCCTTCTCTCCTCTGCATCCCATCAGCCCCTTTGTAGAAAAAAGAGGAAGGGAAAAAAACGTTCATGTCTGTGACTTTCTTGCCCTCCAGCATATGAAGCCCTCTTTTATTTTGATCATCGCAGCACAATGGATTCATGCCATTCTGGCAACTTTATTCAGTATCAGCCCAAATTTACATACTGCTTAACAAGTTTGTGCGTGACTGTTGATGCCTCTGATCAAAGTGCTTTTGGAAATCTTTCTCATCTGATTTTTCCCCGTCCTTCATTTCAAATGCATGCTGCAGACAGGCATCTTTAACTCAGAGGCAAAGAAAGGTAACCTTAGTGCTGCACTAGCCTAAATGTCATCCAACAAGGAGGGCTCATGTCCTGGGGATAAAGATAATGTAATATAAGCAGTATACAGTGTGACTGTGTGTGTGAGTGCATGCATCTATGCCAGCCTCAGTGTTTGTTGGAGGTTTGGGTTTGGGGGCGGAGGGAGACAGGGGATGACAAAAGTCAAAGCAGTCATGTGTCATTTTCGGTGCTGAAGGGCTGGGACCTGCCTCCAGGGCTGTCCTCTCTGTCAGACACACTCAGATATCTGCGCTGAACTTTCTCACTGTCTCTCTCTCTTTTTTTTTTCTTTTTGTTCTCTCCATGCTTCAAAGTGGAATACAAGGTAGCGACAACATTGGTGGAGCAGAGCTCATGTAAAACTGAAGCCTTTAAACCATAAACATTTGCTTTAGATGTACAACATGCAGTGAGTAAGTAATTCTAAGTAATTCAATCTTCAACACCACAAGACCGAGTCTGGATGGAAAAAGATTTGTTGACTGGTACAATATACAATACACAGTATATCCCTATGAGGGTGCAATAAGACAAGTGGGGAGACATTTTTGACAAAGATCAGGTTGTAAATCAAGATATCAGAGGCCACACAACAAACCAATGGCCCATAACATTCCCAAAGGGATAGAAACAGAGGCTGCACAGAAAAATGTGCTGTTGCAACCCACTGCAAGAGCACAGTAGGCTCTACAATAATACAATACACATGTAAATACACACAGCCACCAGAGCAAACAACAGAATTCAAAACATTAAATAACTGAGAAAGAAAAATGGATTCAAAAATACAATGAAAAGAGGGTGTGGGTGGAAAAAGAGGAATCGTGGGAATGCAAGATTGCACCTCCCTCAGGCAATCGAATTATCCTATGGGCCGTTGGATCTTCCTTATGCGTCGGATGACATTTTCCTGTTACCCCCATCCCGAGTAATGCTATGTGATGTGTGTGACTGGCTTCTGCCATGGCCCTGAGAGGCCATGAAGCCCCAGAGCCATTTGCATTAGGCCTGCAGCATCCTGGGAATTGTTTATTTTATCTCTGCTCCGTTTTGCCTCTCCCTCTAATTTTGCTCTCTCCTTCCCTCTGTCCTGTTCTCCTCATTCTCCTTCTCTCTCTATTTGGCCCAGTGGTGTCTACTTTCAATTAGGGGAGGATGCACTTGTATTCTTCTCTGAGACAACACCCCTGACAGGCGACTCTCTAGGGGTAACTCAAAACCATGCCTTTAGTCTTTTCCCAACTCTTAGTATTCCAGCACCTTTCAGAGGACACAAAGGTACACAACAACTGAAGCAGATGGCGGTATCTGTTCCTCAGCTGTATATTGCTCTGTACAATAATGATAAGAGTAGAGGGTGTGCTGAAGAAGAAAGCAGTTGAAGATCAAGATATGCTGCGTGTTGTGTATGAGTGCAACGGAGAGAGGGAGGAAAGAGATTTAAGGACAGAGAAGATGAGATGTGTGATATGAGATAATAGAATGATATTCAAAATGTACCCCTGAAGCTATAAGTTAAAAGAGAACATTAAAAGAGAACATATTTTGATTGCTTATGGATATGTAAGCCAGCACATCAATATGCCCAAACTTCACTTCATACCCTAAAGGGCGTAAGTGGAGGCAGGCCAATCCACCATACACAAATAGCATATGAGTGCAACTGTTGACATGTGACAAGCAGAAAAGGGACAGTGTTGAGAGCATAGCCTTTTATGACCCAACACACTTTGACAGCTTGGCCATTGCTTGAGGACACAGGCAATGTTGCTTTTTCATCTGACAATTTTAAGCAAAACAATGTTCCCTCTGTGGATTCAATTGTTCAGAGAGCCTTTGTGGCTGTGTGCTAAAGCACGCTGACAAAAACAGGTCTGTAGTCTGTAGATTTTGCTCGCTGCTATACAGAGGAGTTATACTGTCAATTTGTAGGACAAAAAGTGAGATGAAAGTGTAAGCGATATAATGTGGGCACTGCTTTTATGCAACACTGCACTCTGCTGGTAAAAGGTGATAACACCTTGAGTTATTCATCAGCGACAGTGAGACGGTCTTAACAGAGGACCATTGTAACCTTAGTTCCCCAAGGATGCTAGTGTCGGTGTGCTTCTATCCTTGAAGCTGTTGCCTTATTTGGACCTAAGGACATTCTGCACTGAAAAATTTTAAACATCCCAGGAGGTGCATACTTTGAAATATAGCCACAGGGCCGCACATTAGAATGACAAAAATGTGGATCCTCAAAGTGAAACCTGCCTGTGACTTGGAAATTAGCTAAAGAGGAAAGTAATGGGTATTGTTACAAAAGGGTCAGGGTACTGATGTTAAATGCAACCAAACAGTTAAGTCAGTTGTGAACATGTGGGATGTTTTTTCACAGTATCTGTTCAATATCAACTACAACGTGAGAACACATTTTGCCTAAAGTGTATGTGCATGACAGATCAAGAGAAAAAGAGATGTAGGCATTCTAAAAAAAAAAAATCTGTTGTGTGTTCACATTAATAGTGTTCAGGGTGTATGTGTGCATACAAACAAAGCACTCAGTTGACAGCCTGCAGCAGCGTGCATACTTGCTCGGAGAGTACGTGTCCTCAGGCCTTGATCCTCCATCGATGACCTCTGGTGAAGCCATTATTTTCTGCATTAATGATGAGCAGCAGCCAGCGATGAGAGAGATGGACTTTGTCCTGAGGCATAGTAGTGCTGATTATGGGCAACAACAATGCCTGCAAAAAAAAAAAAGAAAAGAAAAACTCTTCCCACAAGCAGTTCAAAAGTCTAGGAGTCTGAGCAGCAGCACAGAATAAGCTGCTCTTGCTCAGTTGACAAAATGGAGCAGATAACCTCTGTAGCTAGAGGATTACCCAGAATAAAACTTTATTAAAGCTTACCTACAGCTAGTTTTGTCATCCAATAAATTCACCTGCTCTATGCCTGCAACCTGAGCACTAACAAACCACTGACTGTGTCATCACAATCCAACAAATTCTGATCTAAGTACACTATTGTGTGCCAATTAGTGTATGGATGAAATAACTGAGACTTAGTCAAGCAGAGTCCTCCAAAATTGTAATGAGATAAGGTATGGGAAGTATTGTCAGAAGCTTAATTGTTACTCTTGACATCGGCACAAACACCAAGCTATAAGACTGACAAACGTGACAAACTGCAGACAAAGTGCAATTGCTCTAGTCAAGGCAGCCAGGGCGCCCACTCAGGAAATCCTGGCTTGGGGAGATGACTCTAAATGAAGGACTTTACTATTCACCATTATGTCTTTGGTGAGAGTCAGAGGGAACCCCTGAGGCTCCTGAGCGCAGTGCAGCACAACTTTTCAAAGGGCTCCAGATTAAAGTCACTGAAAGTTCCCACTGGGGTCTGAGGCCAGGATCCCATTAAGCAGCCCTACCACACCGCCGGCCATAATTGTGTCGTTGAGAATTCAGAGCAGCGGTTGCTTGATAAGCGAATTTAGGGTGAAATAAAAAAGGAGAGGCAAAAAAGGGTCTCGTTGGGCCACCATTAGACAGTTCATTCACTCATCGCTAATTTGTTTTAAATGACTGAGCGAGAGGTGAGCACTTCATAAAGCAGTCCAAGCTTTTTTTCCCCCCCTCCATTTTCAGGTCTCTACAACAGAGTGCTGATAAATGAAAAACACTGCAGTTCATAGCCTCACACTATACTGTTGCTAGTGGTGTTTTAAATTGTAGTTATCTTTATCACAGTACTTGCTTTGCAGTAGGATAATCAATAAAAGGGTGGAAAAAAGGGAAACCTATTCTTCCACTGTTTCTAAGGCACCACTACTCTCATCTTGAAGAAACCAGTCAGTGCACAACTAGTAATTATTATTCATAGTTATACAAGTAGACACTACACAGTAAAGCCATTAGGTGCAACAAATTACTTAAAACATTGTTAAAAATTGCAAAGACATGTTAAAAACAAGTCAACTTTTATTGAGTATTTAGTTTTGTTATGGTATCAACATTTGACATTCATTACCATCATAGATGTTTGGTAAATGATATAAAAACATCCTGTAAGCAGAGTTTGGGATCTAAACCCTATCTTGATCTCTATGTATGTGCTTTTACACACCAGTCAACTCAATAGCTGGAAGTACAGGAACTCGTTGGCAACTGGTATAGTATCAGTCTGTCATGTGAGAAAAACATTTCAGCCACATCGACAGATCTCAAGTTAGGATTCAGTTTTCTTTTGTTTTGTTTTTATAGTGAAATAAATGAGTGAACCCTTATTCTATTGTCATCCAATTACAATAAAGAGAAACTCTTAATTAACTGCTTCATGTAGATTTTTTCTGCTTCTTCTTCTCCTGCTCCTCCTCTTTTTCCTTCTCGATCTCAGCCACCAAGATCTCAATTTCCTTGGATTCCAAAATCTGCAAATGGTCAAGAAAAGCAATTATTAGCCTATAAATAAAAAGGGGGAACATGAAACAACAGTCAACCATAATATGTAGCAAATCACCTTCAGTGGCTGATTCCGTCTGATAACAGCTAGTTCAATATTCTTTCCTCCTGACTGGACAACCTGTGACAAAACAAATATTTGTGACAAGTCCTAGTGAATGAGCATACACTAACAATCATAGCTTCCAACTCAGGCCTATATTGATAAGATGTGACACAGTTTAAATGCATTTAAAAACAGTTTACTTGTTCTATTATTGACATGCTCTATGTAAAAAGGTCTTTAAAAATATTTTGGTGAGTGAAGTAGTCCTATTGTGAAGTCTATTCAGTTTCACAAAGACTAAATTTGCCCTTACCTCAAGCAAAGCTTTGATAGCCAACTTGATTGCCTCATTGTCCCCAGCAATGGCTTCATCTGTGTAATTCTTCTCCAAGAATTCTCTCACAGTCTTTGCACTACGACCAATTGCATTTGCCTGAATTTTTTTGAAAAAATTGATTATTATTCAATTTCATACTGATGAGGTGCCTGTTGCAAATTAAACAAAACAATGCACAAAGAGAAAACTCACTGACCTTCCAGGCATGGTAAGTTCCTGACGGGTCTGTCTGATACAGCCTGGGAGTTCCATCGTAATCAAAGCCAACAATTAACGCAGAGATGCCAAATGGCCTGCGCCCATTACTTTGAGTGTAGCGCTATAGATAAGATGGATATACAGATGAATGTGACCAGTCATTCTTACAAATCTTTATTAAACACTCAGCAATCAGGTAGAGTACAAAAGCTGAGACTAATGTTCTTGTCTACTCAATTTTAAGTCTTACAAATAGCTTTTAGTAAATGAACATTATATATTGTTTGGTAAGATGGTCAAGTACCTGTTTCAGTGTAGCTATATAGCGTGTGATGTATTCCACTGTGACTGGGTCCTCAACCGTTAGCCTGTGGCTCTGGCACTCAACCCGAGCTCTGTTTATTACAATACGAGCATCTGCTGTGAGACCTTAAGAACATTTGAAGAGATTAATGGAGTTGCACAACATAAATAGAAACCACAACAGAAATTTTGATGACAAAATCCTAAAAGGTGGTAACGATATCTGCAGTGATATAGTGTGTGTCACAACTGGTCTTTAGAGTGCTCTGTCACAAAGTAAGCTGTGACAACAAATACTAGGGATTAAATAATTAATGAACTATTCAGTTTTTGGAAAAAAATGTGTAATCTGAATTACCTGCAAATGCCATGCAGACATGCTCATCCAGGGCACATATCTTGCGGACAGTTCTTTCCTCCTGCAACTTTGCTACAGATTTCTTTTCAACACCAAGGACAACAATATCTTTACCCCTGATTCCCACCTGTACAGAAAGAAAACATCGCATAAATTAAGTTTAGGAGAAAACATATTTCAACACAAAAGTACTTTTGGGTTTAAAAGAAGGTATGTTGATGATTTATATGTCCATCCAACAGAGTTTTTACTTTTTGAGTTATGACTAATTATATCAAAATGTGCAACAAAAGTAGACAGTAATTTATCAGAAAGCTCCTGAACAATTTACTTTCAAGTTACAGCTTGTATTATACATGTTCTTGTGGGCTGGAAAGTTAATGAGTGCAATTAGAAAGTCAATTTTAACTCTACTGCACTTCATATACAAAACAAAGTTGCTGTACTACAACGCAAGTTATCTGTAATCAGGTTAGATGCACTACAGTGGCTTATTGAGTAAGGTATATGACTACCTTTAACGTTAAATTAGTACCAAGTGAATTTAGTGCACTTGTACCGCCTAGTACATGGAATTTATCATGCAGACATAATCATACGGATTTGCTATCACTTTAATGTCTGTACTGTTTAGAGGAGTATATGTAATATATAAAAATGTAATGTAATGTAATGAAAGCAGAGCTAAAGACAACTTCATGAACGCGTAAAACAATAATACTGTGCATGAAATAGCATTAGCTGACATTATCACAACGAAACTGAAAGTACTGAGAGTGACACAGCGACAATATGCTCGCTAACGATTTTACAATAATGGATACATATATTGTTATATTACATGTGGAAGCTACAGACTGGCACTCCAACAAGGCCGTGAAAACTCAACATCTGCGTGTAACAGACTGCATTAAAATAGTAAAAATAGCTAAATACGTGAATGCATCCTAGTCACTAGCTTAGCTAGTTGGCTATCGTTTGCTTACGTTAGCATTAGCATAGCTGCATTTTAAGACTTACCGCTGTGGAACCTTTTTTTACAGCTTCCTGTGCATACTCTACTTGAAAGAGATGACCATCTGGGGAAAAGACAGTAATAGCTCTGTCATATCTTGCCGCCATTGCACTGCAAGACACGTATAATCACAAAAAAAGATGACACTTCAATCAAATGCTTTAGCTAGTTAGCGACAAGCGACTCAGTCGATGAACATAGATGAAGATGCCGTGTGTGGGGAAACAGCGTCTGCGCATGCCCTCTGGTCTAGGGCGATACCAAAATGTAGGGTTTACCAGAAGAAAGTTGCGATGAAATACACAATAGAATACTATAGTTTTATTTGCGCAAGTGCTCCGGGTAACAAATATTTTAAGCAAAAACTAAAAATACAAAACGCCTCAAGGATACCATTTTAATATTAAATTCCATTTAGGCCTGTTGAGTACTACTGGGTGATGGTTGGGCAATATGAAGAGAGGTGTCATGTGGTTGAATTTAAACACATAAAACTGACTAAAATATATTATTTTGAGCTATTATGCTTAATCGTCCTGCTAGATATCGATTATATCTTTGACTATTTCCCCTTTTGTTAGGCAGCCCTTTTCCCGTGGCATTTTGGTCTAGAGCCAGACTGTTCCACCATATGAAAATAGGTGAAATTGTAATTATATTAAGCCTTAATGCTTTAGCATTCAACTTAATAAATAACTGTCACGAAGTAATATCATGTATATGTAATAAATCTGAACGTCGTGTGTTTTAGTGTCATCAAAATAAACAATATTCATCAATTATTTTTTCAAATCTGTTGTATCCCCCCCAAAATGGACCGGTGCATTACGAAATCGCAGCCTATTCTGAAGTATTTGATCTGAGTTGTACCGATTTGTTAATGTCTGTTAGCTACTTTTGACTTTTATGCTCTAGTTCAATTTAATTTCACAGAGTATCACCATGTCGGTGGCGTTTGCACCTCACAGGCAGCGTGGGAAGGGTGATATAACACCCGCTGGAATACAAAAGGTAATTCATCTTTTTAGCGCGTCGCAGAATGGAGGCTATGGTAGCAGACTCTGCTAGCTGTTAGGCTAATCATTGTAGCATTGCCCATCCAAGTCTAGCTGTGAATGGATCAGGAACAATGTTGCAGGGTCAGCGCGCGGCGAATATGAACCTCTCTAGAGTCAGGACGCCACGAGTGCCTAGGTCGATTTACCGTAGTAATGTATAATCGTATTTCAAATTAATGGAGGCCTGCAGATTTTTTTTTTTTAGCTGAGGACAGCTAGCTGGCAAGACGCGTCTTTTGTTAGTTAAAAACGTACACTCGCACTTAACAAAACACCCCCATCCTCCCTGTTGTTTTCAGATTAATGTTACATCAGAGTAACCTTCAGCAAACAAACACCCTACAGTGCCAAAATAATGTGTCAGTTATTTTAAATGTTGAGTTATCTCGTAATATAAACGTGCTAAATCTCTGAATCTACCATTTCAGTTACTTGATGAAAACAACCAGCTGATCCAGTGTATAATGGATTTCCAGAGTAAAGGCAAAACAGCAGAGTGTTCACAGTAAGTTGTAAAAACTCCCCTTTGCCTACACGTTTCAGTAATTTTAAGTTCACCTCGACCCAAAAACCTGTATTTACGACTCTCCACCTGCCCAGGTATCAACAGATGCTGCACAGAAATTTAGTGTACCTCGCCACAATAGCAGACTCCAATCAGAACATGCAGTCTCTCCTCCCTGCTGTGAGTATTTGCTCTTGCTGAAACTTTTCAGTAAGTGAAATGTTTATAACACTGTGACTTTTCTGCATCCCAATGTACTGTTGAGCTCATGTACTATATCATGTTCAACAGCTCTGATTTGGCTATTAGCTTGGGCAAATGGCCAGAACCAATATGCAGTAAACATACATTAAAAATGAGGATGTTCATTTAACTAACAAACTGTTATTTTTTGTTTCACGGACAACCTGACATGTTCAGTTTGACCAGTTTTTATAATTTCCCATATGAAATGTTAAAATATGAAAGATTTTATTACAAATTTGTAACATCCTATTTTGTTTTGTATTTGATGTCAAAAAAATTGACGTCTAACTTTACCAAATATGAAAGATGAACTGTGTTTAATATTACTTTTTTTCTTGTGACAGCATTATGAACACTTTGTGCTTGACCCATGCTAAGAGTGAAACATGCTTAAGTCATTAACGCATTATGAACACTTTGTGCTTGACCCAGGCTAAGAGTGAAACATGCTTAAGTCAATGTGTTTTGTGGTCTTTGATCAGTTGCTGTGGCAAAACTGAAAGAAGTTAATTCAGTTACTGAGTATGTATCATAGTATTTATTCTCCTTTTTAAATATGCAGTAGCATTTAAAATCTGTGAGGTACATCACAGCTAAGCTTGATTCTGATACTTTGCACAGAGATCTTGGCTTTTATCTGTTTTTATTCCCTTGAGTTTTCTCTTTGAGTGACTCAGGCTAAGATGTGTTTCTAGCCAGCTGATGTGTGTTTTTGTGTCAATGTTGTGTGCCTGCAGCCACCCACTCAAAACATGCCTATGGGCCCTGGTGGGATGAACCAAAGTGGCCCCCCCTCTCAACCTCCTCATGGTCACAACATGCCCTCTGAGGGGATGGTCAGTGGTGGCCCTCCAGCCCCACACATGCAGAACCAGATGAATGGACAGATGCCTGGTAAGTGCCCACCCCCCATCTTTCTCTCTTGTCTCACTCCCCTTCTTCTCCCTCAATCCCTGTCTCACTTTGGTTGCCTAGCAACACCACAGAGCTGTGAGGTAGGTGGCTCTGCTGAAGGATGATGTCACCCATTTCCCACTCTGGTGGTCTTAGATGTGTACTGTGTTTGATTATGGTTACCTTCTTCACCTTCATTACCTTAATTATCATGGATTGTTTTAATGTGTGCTTTATTTGCTTTTTGTTTACAAATGTGTATATTTCATTATATTCCATAAAAGTGGTGGTGTTGTTTTTAAAGGTACTGATTGCTTTACCAGCAAATTTTATAAGTTAAAAGTCTAGGGCAATATACGCTTTATATATTTGACATAGTCACTAGAGTTAAGAATTAAAACCTTTGATGGATTTAATTGCTTTTGTGTATAAGGTATAGCAAGAGCTGAATTGATTAAAAGAAAATGGAAAGAGGTGGTCAGAGATAGTCATGAATCATCTCTGCTGTTGTTTTCCAGGTCCTAATCACATGCCCATGCAAGGTCCTGGTCCAGGCCCCAGTCAGCCCCCAAACATGCCCAGTGGCTCTATGAATATGCCTCCTAGCAGCCATGGCTCTATGGGTGGTTACAATCACACTGTCCCTTCCTCCCAGGGCATTCCAGCTCAGAGCCAAATGAACATGACCCAAGGCCAGCCCATGGGAAACTATGGGCCACGGCCAAACATGAACATGCAACCCACTCAAGGTAAATACTTCATTTTTTTTGTTTCTGCTTGGTTGTATTGATTTCCAGTTCCATATGCTGGTGCTTCCTGCTCATCATTCATCTACTGTACATTTGATAAATCAAACAGTACTTGTATGGGCTTTCCATCTAGTTCAGTGTTACTTCTTTCTCTGTGTACCACAGGCCCTATGATGCACCAGCAACCTCCTTCCCAGCAGTATAACATGCCTCCTGGTGGTGGTGGACAGCACTACCAAGGACAACAGAACCCAATGGGCATGATGGGCCAGGTCAACCAAGGGAACCATGTCATGGGGCAGAGGCCAATGCCACCCTATAGACCACCACAGCAAGGTATACCCCTCAGAGTGTGTATGCTAAGTGGGCAAGCTGAGAGTGTTTATAATATCTCCTTCACTCACTCCCTGTATTACTTACTCTTGTTTCTCTGTTTCCTCTATTTTCACTGCTGTAACTCACAGACATCTTGATGACTAAAGATGTAACCTGAAGCCTCCAATTATAAAATTTGTCAAATGAGCAAGAGAAAGCTTTCTAATAAGAATTAGCAGCAAGGAATCCATCCTCTTTACTTTTCCCCCCTCACACAACTGATCCAACAACACCTCGAATCTTCTTGTTGTGTGTATGTAGGACCCCCTCAGCAGTACCCAGGGCAGGAAGACTATTATGGGGACCAGTACAGTCATGCAGGCCAGGGACCCTCAGAAGGTAGGAGAACCCTCCATTTACTTGGAGAAAGTCAACAAAAATGAACCCAGTAGTTAAAACAGAAATTATGTAAAGATACAATGACAAAGCCAGCATTTCAGGTTCTCCATTATTTCCTGTGAAATCAGAGTGACTGTGGTATCTGATTTTTAGGAAAGATACACATGCCAGAGTGCACAATATTCCACAGCATGCTGTAGCCCTTAGATAAGTTAGTATCCAGTCTTGTAATTACATGCCATGGCCAGTGTGAAAGACAAGTCAGGGTCGTGGTCTTGTGAGTCTTTATGGTCAGCTTTTCATTACAAAAACGCACCATATACCACACGTAATTTTATAACTACAACATTTGCTACTTGCATTTTTGTAGTTGTGGACGTTTAGTGTATTCATAGTATGTGAGAGCACCTCAGTGTAGTTTGATATGAAGCAGACTGCCACTCTGGCATCTGGCAGATTTTTTTTTTTTGTACACAAAATAAATCTTATTTGTAATGTGGAGAAGAGCAGTGGTAGTGACTTACAAATCACAGATTGTTTTTGAAAAATATGCTCAGACTTCATTTTCTAAATCTAACTTTTGATATGCTGCTGATTTTGGTGTGTTTAGGAGTGATATTATTTCATATGAATATACTGAAGCCACACAAAGATGACAGATTCATCATAAACATCTTCCTTTGTCAAAGCAACCTTTTTTCCCCCCCTCTTACTGACTACACTATTTTCCTTTGAGGTTTTCAAACACAAGTGTTTCTTATTCTGAATTAAAAAAAAATTGAACCAATGTGAAAATCTAAAACAACAGAAAACATGAGTTCTTGTTGTGGGAACTCTAATAACATGATGATTTTGATCTTCTCCCACTCTGATTACTAATTGTAATGGTAAGTAATACTGAATAAATTAAAGGTATTAATTTAGCTTCCTGTCTCTGTGTTGAGTTGGTGTAGCTCATAGTGATTATAGTTTGCAGCCACCATATCTTAAATGAGGGATGTGAATTCTTCACAGTATTGCTGTTATTGAAGGGCTCTCTATAACCTCATCTAATATGTGTGTTCATTATAATGTTGATTGATTTATTTATATGTTTTATGTATTTCTATCTCTTGTGTTCAGTAGAGCACAGTACCAAAAGATGGAATATCTTTTCTAACTTAGGCTTTATATATGGCTTCATACCTGAGTTGTTGCTGGACCTCAGTGGGAGTTAAAGCAGATTCTCACTTTTGCTTGAATGTCCTCATTGCTATCATTTATTGCTAGATAGTATCAGTTAGTATTATTCTTTTGTTAATGGTATCTTATTAATTACTACAGTTGTGTTTAATGGCTGTATAAGCACGGTCTGAATGTGATGGAAAAATAAAGTAATAGTGTCGAATGGGTCTTTATTCAGTCTTTACCAGTCTGCCTTGTACAATTTAATTCAGTTCAATTCAATTTATTTGTATAGCACCAATTCACAACAATAGTCTCAGAGCATTTCACATAATCAAGTCTAGAATTTACACTATTATAAGGAAAACCCAATAAGTCCCCCTTGAGCAAGCACTTGGTGACAGTGGGGAGGGAAAAACTCCCTTTAACGGAAGAAACCTCCAACAGAACCCGGCTCTTGGTGGGCGGCCTTCTGCCTCGACCGGTTGGGGTGAGTGGATAGAGGAGAGAGCTGTAATTGTCAACAAGTTGCTCACATTCCCTGCTGTTGCCCCCCTCAAGGTAACGCCCAATATGGCCAACAGCAGGAAGCATACCAGCAAGGCCCTCCCCAGCAACAGGGCTACCCTCCTCAACAGCAGTACCCGGGTCAGCAGGGCTACCCACCACAGCAGCAAGGTTACGGTGAGTAAGAGGCACCATCACTTGTCTTTGGCTACCTTTTTCTCTTCAGCCGTTAAGTAAAAATTCTTCCTGAGTATGTTTGTGGTTAATGTCACTGCCAAATGTATGTCAAGATATCATCAAGAACAAGGAATTAAAGGACCATCTTAATGAATGGTTAGGGGATTGGAGCTTGGTGGAAGAGAAATTTAATCAGTAGCATGGATCCTGGTGCTCTGGTTTGATGTGACACTGAAGGGAGTGGGAAAAGAGCATTGGCTGATATGTACATTGGGTATGTGTACACTGTCAGCCAATCTTTTTTTTTAACTTTCTGTTAGCATTTTGGATAAGTTGTTAAGCACTGTGTTAATAAAGTTTATTTAATGGCCAATGCGCTTTGGAGCGTATGACAGAAAAAAACAAGCTACAAATTATAATAAGTTTTTTAAACTAATTGACTATTCATGATATGTATTTCCTAACTTTAGGGTATCTGGATTAAGCTCATATATTCGAGATTTAACCAAAACGATTAAAGTGTACAATGTCTTAAAAATGTTTGATTAGTAATGTAAGTACCAGACTTCTTACAGCTCTTTAGGCTTTTTTTTTTCCTGATCCCATTTTTCACTGAGACTTTCCATCACTCACATTCTGTCAGAGCCAGAGCTCATGTTAGTAATGAGCCAGCGAAGAGGCAGAGGCTGTGAGGTGAGATCCATCTGGCACATACACACGCTTTCTTGCACAAGCCCCCACAAGGTTATGCACAACAGCATAAGGCATTATGGGCGCCTAACGATGCTGCGTGGGCCTCATTTGACTTCAGCCTCAGTCAAGCTTTTCTCAGTCCTTCACAGCGCTGGCATAGACGGCTACAGTGTACGGGGGCTGATGAAGTGAAATTTTTTTCTTTTTTTTTTTAATGAAGCCTCCTGCTCTAATGAAGACCAACCGAATCTCCTTGATGTCTCCTTCCATTAGAGAACCACTGCCTGACTCCAACCTGACTCACTTATTCTCATTCATTACCGAGTCAGGCATTGTGGAGGCAGCCCAAACAAATGGGTCTGAGATATCCACCATCCTCTTTTTGTCATCCATGAGCTTTATTGCAGGCCATTAGTGATAGTAAACTAACAGGGATTCCCGAGAGTTCTCAGAGTAACAAGGAGGGAATGGAAATGGTTAATGAGCAAAACTTGGGCCATTTTCACACTGGGCTCCTTCGCTTGAGTCGAAACCTGAGTTTTATTGTCACACCTCTTTCTAGGCAGATAATAAGACCTGATTTAAAATAAAAATGGCCAAGAGGCAGCTCTTTTAATATTGTGTGGCATTATCTTGGGTTTGAATGTTACTTACCGCTCATAAATCTGTGAGGTCTTTTATATCCCATTTTGTTGTTCTACCATGCAATACAAATTGTTTTGTGACTACAAGCAAACGCATAAAACAATATTTCAGCTCGAACTGGCCATTTGGGTGGAAACCAAACCACTCCTCGATTCAAAAAGAACTGCCTGGTGCGCGTGTGATGCCAGAAACGCAACTTGCTGATGATGATGGATTAGAAGATGCTGAATTCAGAGTTTATGCTGTCTGGACCCAACAGTGTTTTTCAAATAGTTTTAAGGTTTACTCAAGGCTGTCAAGAATACATCATTATAAGTTGTCAATATTTGTTGTAGGTCCCTCCCAGAGTGCCCCAGGACAGTATCCTAACTATCCTCAGGGGCAGGGACAGCAGTATGGGGGCTATCGCCCTCCTCAGCCAGGTCCCCCACAGGGCCAGCAGCAACGCCCTTATGGCTATGACCAGGTGCGTATGCCCACAACACTGGACAGTCACAAAGAGTTGTCTATACATAGGTCTTAGTTTGTCCCTTATTATCTTCACTGCCAGACTTGTAGTTGTAGCCTGTATTTTGTGCAGTTCTCAGTGAGACCAGAAATCATTGTAAGTCAAGTTACAAAATAAACATTAACAGGTAGTATGTTATGCATGCTGTCATCATAATGGGGGTTAATTCTCTTTTTCCCAGAAAGTGTGTATGTGTTACTATTGCCTTTTTCTTGTTAACTGAGTTTTAGTTATATGTCCTGGCTAATGTGGAATGCCATTCCAGTGAAATATGAGGGCTGTAAGAGGATCCTTCCTTAAACATGATGCAGAGTGCACTAGTGTTTAAAGGGAGATCTATTTGTTGCCCTGTATTTCCTGTGGTCTTATGTGGGGACCACAGCTACACTTTGATATCTTTATCTTTGAATATTCAGGGGCACATGAGGAAATAAAGACCCGGGGATTTGAACCCCTGGCTAGCTCTGTAAGAAGCAAAGGTAATGGTTGCTGTGAAGACCTCAACGTCCAATCTAGACATTCGACCACCTAGCCTTAATTTGTGTTTGTTTTCTTTGTCTCTTTTGTCTTTATCTTTCTTCCATCTTTCTTAAGTTTGTTTCTATATTTGTTTTAGTCATATGTATTTTGTTATTAACCAGGGGTCAAATTGTAAGTCATGAGGTCCAGAAACACAGCGTGCTTAGTCGCGGTGAGTCGGCCAAACACCTGCCTGTTTTGGCTGTAGATTTAATTTCTGCCATTTTATATCACTGGTGTTGATTGATATTGTGCTTATGATAAAACTGTCACACATATTAGTAAAATACGGTTTCAAATTGTCAAATCATAGTTTATTTCCAAATGAGTTTCCATTGTGTTTTTCAGGCATAATTTGACCCCTGTTTAGAAATGCATCAGTTGCTACTACCAGATTTGTCTCTCTTGAACCTAGTGTCCACTGTCTAATATAGAATATAGTCCTCAGTCATGCTGCTGCCAAAGCCTGAGGTATCAAGTTAGATTTTAGAGCTCACAAGTTGTGAGGCCTTGCTGCCACCTGCTGGTCCATACTAGCAAATGCAGCCATAAATCATGGTTTGCAGTATGATGTGGTGGAAACCACAGATGTTTGTTTGCACCCTATTGCGATGTGTTATTGTAACTTTTTACTCTGTGTTTTTGACAAGAGTAACGTGAACCTGTCGCATTGCTGTCCACAGGCCCAATATGGAAATTACCAGCAATGAGAGAAGATCACAGCAACCCACACAGCTCTACTCGGATCTGAGCTCTGACCTCTGGTCAGCCAATAAGCAGACTTTAATGATGGTTGCAGCTCACTGACATTTCTCTCAGACATGAACATGCAACACTCAAAAATTACAAGATACATTTTCCCCTGTCTTCAGGCTTTTATCTTTGCCTATGAAATTTATTCTCTTTATCATGTGCTGACTGATAATGTCATGTCCAAGACACCCTCTGGTCCAGTGTGTCTCAAAGCAGCAATGCCTTAAAAATGGAACTGCCTTATCCTTTAGCATTGCAAAAACAGGCTCACAAAATTTTGGATGTTAGAGATGATTTAAATGTATAGTTACAATCTGCTGTGGTGCATTGTTTCTCTATTGTTCAGCTCCCTTTTTGTAAGAAGCAATAATGCCAGCAGAAGGGAAATGTGTGGGGGCTTAGAGATGGAATAATGCACCAGAAGAACTTCCCGCTAGGCCATGGTACAGTACGTCTTGATGTATGTGATAATGTAAAAATATATTTTATGCTTTCTAGATCAAGCTAACTTTGTATAAGACATTGGAAACTAGTACTAAAGCGGTGGTGTTTATTTCATGATGTGTATGTGTCAGTGTTTTTTTTTAATGATCTTTAATAATGATCCCATCCAGCACATTTTGTTTTTTTATTTCCTTTTTTTTTTGTTGTTGTTGAATTATATCCGATTGAATCTGCTATTTCAGTGATGTGGACATGCATAGAAATTCTTTGAAGGTCAAATATAAACACCACACCTGCAATTAGAAAATGCTTGTCTGAAAACATTATGTTCTCTGTTGAGATGTTTTTACGTCAGTGATACAGTACAAAACAAATGTGGATCTTGAATGGATCTTTTAAAATGTTATCTTACAGAATAATGGCTATATGTATTTATTTGTGCCCAAAGAGGTGACATGTAGCAGATGCCACTGCAAGCCTTTTTTTTTCTGCAAAGCACCTCAGTCTTGTCCAGTGACTGCTAATTAGTGAATGGAAAAGAACAAATGTGGTATAATAAATAAAAGTAAATCTGACAAGTACTCTGTTTTGTTAGTCTTGACAATGCTGGGATCCCTTTTCCCCCCTTTTGAATAAATGTCTAAGTTGATGTCATTCAAATAGTGTTGTGTGTGAATATTAAAGATTGTTATTGTCAAATATGTAACATAAGATGTGAAAATAATGTTCGGAAATGGATTCCTTAATTTCACAGTCAAGGCTGATTGTGCAGTTTTATATAACTGACTTGATATCTGTTTTATGGTGCATACTTTATTGATCCCATATGTACAGCAGCGTAAAGAAGGGGAATTCAGTGTCCTCTGGTATTGTTTATATGGCTGTTTTAATATTTTTCATTCTGTACCCCATCAAAGTGATGGTCACATTTGTGTCATGGCAGTGTATAACTACATTATAATAAATCAGAAGAATCTTTAATATACTTTGTGTTTTTTTTTTTTATAGCATTTAACCTTTCATTTGGATTCCGTTAACACAAAAGTGCAAAATTATTCATCCTGATGGCAACGTATACAAGAGGTGCCCTATTGGTGCTGTCACAACGTGACAGTATGATATAATTGTTTTGTCTTCATCTGCTATCTGGTAGTCAGTTTCCAACTGATAATGACCCTGCCCTGCTCAGCAGCAGGTCTGCTTTGTCCAGATGCATCCAGAGAGGTCCAGAGCACATTTACACCCAAAATTACCTTCCATGTCCCTCTTTCCCCTTCTGCTCCCTCCAGAGAGGGAGAGGGACTACCTGTCACATTGGGGGGAGTGATACAGATGGTCCACCAGATGTGTGGCCAGAGCACGTGATGGGAGGGTGGTGTTGGTGTTAAGAGGGCCAGAGACTGCTTGGGTTGCGTTGGTGCAGATGATGAGTACTTGTGTGTGTGTGTATATAAATGTGGGTGAGTGCAGCAGAGGTGCTTTAAGAAATCAAGTGTGAACTTTTTGAGTCTGCATATGTGTATAATATTTGTGAGTATATTTGTGTATCTCTGCTCAGGTTTAGTGGCATCTTTTAGTCACCCCACCATCCTGCTGCTCCACAGCTGGCTGCCCCACCCTTCCCAGCTGCCACTGGGGCTCCCTCCGGCCCGTCCGCTTGGCAGAGCTGGCGTTTTGGGCGGTCCCCCACCAGTCCTCCCTGGCAGCTGCCGCCCTCAGCTGCGCTCTTGCAGACGGTATTGGGGTCAGACAAAGTCACTCCTCCTGTGACTGTGTCTGGGGCCGTTGGGGGAGGATGAAGAGGTGGCAAGGAGACTCATGCTTCCCGCAAAAGATCTTCCTTAATGCTATTGCATTTAAATTGGTGGGCACATAACCTAAAATGAGGCAGTGCAAGTTAAGTGTAAATATTTAATTGGTAGTAAGTAAGTGAATATTACAAAATGTGAACAATAAAAAACATCTTTTGCTGTGTAGTTCTAAATGTGTTAGCAAGAAAGCTTGCAGAAGATCATGCGTGTTCTGTGTTGGTAAGGCAAATAGTGAAGTGGCAGCATTTAAGAGGATGATTATCTTGTTCAATATCTTGATAATTATAATTCAAGGCACCTTTCAGAGGAGGCTCCTAACCACTGAGGCGGAAATGACATTGTGATCATAGCTGGCAGGCAATATGCGATTCTCTCTCTCTCTCTCCATCTTTCTCTCTCTAACTCTCCCTTTCACTCTCTCATACCCACACTCTCGGTGTGACAGAAAGTCTATGGGGAGGTATAAGAGGTAGTTATGGGGGGAATGCAGCAGCCTCCACAGTTTAATTGGAGATGTGTCACACTAAATAAATGGTGCAAAAACAAGCGCTGACTGGAGGCTTGAGGGAGGGGCCCTGGGGATGCAGCCTGTTTTATTGGGCAGGAGCTGTGCACTGCTCCAGGGTGAAACAGGGCTATGCACTGCTGAGATACCCTCCGACCACCAAACCACCAGGCCTCCCAAAAACTACTGTGGAGGAAAAGACAAAGCATTCGCTTCACTCTACAGAAAAGCATCTTATTGGTGCTGCTGTGAAGGTGTGGGTGAACTTAGTGACCTGATTGTTCCTCTTCCAGTATGGAGCATATCATCACCCTTATCTGCAATTACAATTTCTGCATGCTAGCAAACAAGTCCATAATTGTAAAATCTTAAGCAAGTGATCTGTGTCTCTCTACATCTTATGGATGTCAGTTTGTGTTTCGACAAGATGACAGCCAATAGCCTCCAGCTAATCCCATTTCCCTGTGTAATCCATATATGACCTCCAAATTACTAGGAGAATGTGTTTTTCAATATTTTATCAGTGTCAATATAACTATTTTCTTGCTCTGCTCATGCACTGAGTACTGTATGTGTGTGTGTGTGTGCACCTCAGATTCCAGAGTTCATGACACAAGTTTTGATTTACCTCTACAGTGTGCCGCAGTAATTGGATGTGACACCATTCTCTCTGCTCTCCCTGGGGGATATAACAGGAATCTGACTATTATGGCCCCAGCCATGAATATGTCATGACAGCTGCAAACAAAGGTTTGTGATTTGGATAATACTCCTCTGTATGATGTCTCTGTGCTGATATATGAGATAAATGCTGCAAGTGTAAATGAGTTTTCTGTAAAGCAATTTGCAGTGTTTACACAGAACGATTAATTGCCATTGTTTGGAACCAAAAAAAAAATAAAACAAGCTATAGTAGAGAGGGTGTTCAATATTACATGTTCATCATTTCACCTGCCAGATATATACTTGCCTGACAGATATTTGTGTAAGCTATTATATCTAGTTTCAAAACAACTGAAAAGAGTTTTTGGACCTGACATACACAAACAGGGTGATCCCCTAGAAAGACATTGTTTAGCATGCATCTGATGTGCAGTGCTTTGTTTAAATCACATCGTTTGTTGAGGGTTTAGCCATAAAATCAAATTGAGTGTGCTGTTTTGTATGTGTTCTAGCCTCATAAAAGCAGTCTCTGGGTGAAATAGCAGGTATGCTGATATCAGTATTCCCACAGCCTGCATAATTGCTGTAATTTGCTTTCCCTTTGGGTAATCTGTAAACATGGCTGTTTTGATGTTTTTGGCATCCTCCATTGGCTGAGCTCTCAACTCCTCCAGTGGAGCCCCCATCCCAGCCCAGGGTGACACAAATAGATCCTTCCCCAGAAGGCGCACGTAGTTCCACATGGGCACAATCAATACAGCCCAGCCATCACTGGAACTGTGGTGGTATTAAAAGCACCCTGTGTGCTGGTTCTCACCTCGCTGGCGTTTTAGGGAAATAAAGCTATTGATCCTCCGGGGCCTCTGGCAGAGCATTAACCTGGGTCCACAAATTAGAACGTGCTCATCTGGACACATCTGCCTGCAATGTTTCCAAAAAGCCAGTCCCAGTGAGAGAAAAGGAGGTCTGCGAGGCCTGCTGCTTCCAGTGATGAGTAGAGCGCTACTTGACGCCCATGCTGGAGAGGGGGAGGTGTCTGGATGCCCAGGACTTCCATTAGAGGCCCAGGATGGTGGCATGGATCGATGTGGTAAGGTTTGGTTGGGGGTACTCCATCTCAGATCAGTGTGATTCCTTCCCCCTGATGGAGAGAGTGAGGGGGCTGACCCACAGTAAACCTGCGCTCCTGACTGGAAGGACAATGAGGGAAAGGGCCGCTTGTTCCAGCACTGTCGAAAACATTGCCTCTTTTGTACTGTTTTATAGCAAAATCCAGAGTATACTAGACAGCATTGTCTGTTATGTTTCACAGAAATATCCTTCACTATCCAAATTTTAAAATTGAATGCAGATTCCTCCTAAAGCACTCTGCAAACAGTAAATATTGGTTGTTTGGTCCCCTTATTTGAAATACTATATAGCACAACTCTTGGATTTAGAGTAATGGTAAGCTGTGATTCCCATTTTCAGATTACATTTTTATTTGTCTGAAACATCTAGTATTACACTTCCTTCTATGGACACCATGAAGCTATATATAAGCCACTGATTCAAATGCATCCCTTGCTGGGGTGTCATACAATTCAGTATTTATA